CAAGTAAGTACGACTTTCACCTCGCTCGGATTCGGTCGACGAGCGTGGATTTTTGCACGCCAAAGAAATAATAATTCGATAACAAATGCCACGCTGCAGATTAGACCACGAACGAATATTTGCCAGTTAATCATCACGATATGATCTCCGTTTCGGATCCTATGAGAAGGGATTAGTGGTAAATAAATGGGAAGGAAGTGGCGATAACGGAGATAGCAGAAGACGGTATCCGGTGGAGTGGAAGAAGTGAACGTAAAGAGAGGCCACTCACCAGCACTGAGAATAGTGGGCGATCAACGAGGGGATGTTGTCGAACCTGTTCTCGCTAGTCTCCAAGCTCAGCTTCCCCTTGTTGGCTTGGATCAGGTAGTGCTCGATGTACGGTCCCTTTCCCGGTGGCAGTCGCACGGACAGGGCCATCGTGTCGCTCTGACTCGACTGCCGGACCACGAAGTTCTATAAATAAAAACAGAGAATTATTAACGTGCCAACTTAAAGCAACTAAAAAGGATTTACACGATTGGCGAATCGAGGAAACGCTTCGAAGAGATTTTTTTATCGGTGCAAAACTAGTATTTCGATATCGGTATAATAATTTTCTTGATCAGTGATAACTTTTTTATAACGATCTTGAAAATTGGATTCGTGTGTGGGAAGAAACTGGAAAAAATTCAAATCTTGGTAACCTAGTTTTTCCCAAGTAACCTTTTTACATTTTACAAGAGATATTTTATCATCGAAAACTTTGGACTCTGTCGAAACAAAATTTCTTTCTTCTCTGAAAGAAAACGCGTTCAAACAACGAATGAAAAAGTGAATCGTTGAAACTTGTTGAAATTCCGATAACTTTTCGAATTGTCACGATTAACACATATCGTTTCTAGAAATTACTATCAATTTAGAATAAAAGAAAACTTATAATAAAACTTATTTAAAATAACTATTTCATAGTTGAAATTTCATTTTACTAGATTTTCCTATTTCACAAATGTTTAAATATATATATGTATGCACGTGTAGTAAATAAAATTGAACTTTCGTGAACTGGTATCCGTGTATATTTATTATACGAGTATTACACATACGGTTGACATAAGGATATACGAGATACAAAAACATACAGTACGTATTGCCGGTAAGTTAGACGAACGAAAAATTTCTGAGATCAACGCCATCTCGCGTTTGGACACTGGAAGCTTCGACTTGCTACTAGCAATACAGGATATGCAAGGAGGTATTCGTGACGTCACAGATAGAGAATAACATTGTGCGAGAAGGACGGAGAAGATATTTAATCTTCTATCGCTCGAAGATGTTAAAATAAAAATCAATCAATTACTAATTTTTTCTTAACAATTTATGCACTTTTAAGATCGCATTTTCAAGCTAGAACTTTACCTAAGTTTTTCGTATCGATTCTAACATGAAATTCTTGTTAATTATTTATTCATTAATGATTGTTATAGGGAATGTTTCGGTCGTAAAATCTCTATTTTGTAATCGAATAACAAAAAATTAATTTATTCATTTAAACAAAAGTATAATTATGAATAAAAGTTATATGTAAATGCACAGAAGGAAATAACGTTTTAAATACATATATTCGTATTTAAAAATAAATTTGACAGTAATGAGAAATTAATGAAAAATGTATTGCATATCAATGGCGGCCGTCCATTGTGACGGATTTAATCGTTAATAAATAATTAAACGAAAAGAATTTCAGATTAAAATCGACACGAGAAATTTGCATAAAGTTTTTGCTTCAAAATGCAAGGTTAAAAGTGCAGAAATTATTAGTAGAAAATTAGTAATTAATTAATTTTCAATTTAACGAAGCGATGGAAAATATTAGGTCAGTGACGTCACGAATACCTCTTTGCATATCCTGTATTACTAGTAACAAATCGAAGTTTCCAGTGTCCAAACACGAGATGGCACTGATCTTATATATTTTTTGATCCTTGCCAATCTTCGTTGGCAGTTGATAAGATTAAAATAAACAACAGGATTTCGACTAATATTTGAAATCATTTGTTTGAGAAATATCGCAAAGAAAACTTACACGCAAATGTTCCATAAAGCATTATGTTTACAAGTTATACGTTTTTATATAAAATGACGAATCGTATCGATAATAATAATTAAAAAATAATATAATTCTATTTAAAGAAAATTATATAAATTCTATAAATCGTTTATGTGTTCACTTATAAAAAAAATCAATAATAATAATCAAAATATTTAAAATCATTTAATTATTATTTGAAATATTTTTCGTTATAGCGAAATATCACAGTGACGTGCAGCAAGTTGAAAATTTTTGAAATTTAAAATAAAATTTCATTTCGAAAATTCGTGTCATCTTTTTCTCATATAATTCTGTTATGAAATATATAAATTTTATTTCGTTGTGCTATAAGGATAGATACATATCCGCACACAAATAATATTTATAACACTCGCAGCTCTAATACACGTTACAAATTATGCTCTTTACTTTCTCGATCGTGCTCGAGTCGATTCCATGGAAACGCAGAGCAAACAAAAAAGAAAGAAAAGAAAAAGGAAAGAGACGTTTATTATTATTATCCACCGGTTTCCTTATTCCGCTCCATAAATTTCAACCGACCAACCAAGTTTCGAGAAAAGAATCACAACTGCTCTCGCTTATAAGAGAGAAAAAGAGAGATAAAAATGAATCGAGACACCGCGTAAAACCGCGACCCATAAAACACATTGCATAATTCCCCGGCATTTCCAGCCGGAAGTCCACGTCCGCGTCGATAGAACGTCGAGTTGTTGTGACATTCGGCAAAGTAATACGAGACAAAGGTCTAGAAGAAAAGAAAGGCAGGAAGAGACCGACTTTCTTTCTTTACCTCGGCTCTGCCCCTTTTTTTCCCCTTGCTCTTTTTTTCTCTTCTCTTTTTACCGGGACAAAAACTCACCTTACAGAGGCACAGTTTATTTTAACCTTTTGGTACTTTTCTTCTCTGTCCTCGTTTCGAGAAAAATGGGATGATCGTCTCCCAGGTCAAAAGTTTTCTTGAAATAGTCGGTATTAAAAAGGGACAAAAAGAAAAGTTAAAAGAAAAGAAAAGAAAAATCACTTCGAACGCACACCGAGCGCTCATCCACTCCACATTTCCATCCATCCACAGTATCGACAGTAGTCGCGATAATTTCAGCTCCCCTCCTCCTCCTCCTCCTCCCTGAATCCTCTTCAATCCCGGGGATGCACCGGCTCGCGCAATCACCATTCCCGCTTCAACATGGCGGGGGTGGTGGTGGTGGTGGTGGTGGCGTCTCGCGTCTATGGAGAAGTAATTGCGAGCCGCATTGTTTTTCGGTCCTGTGCAATTGGTTGACGGCCGCGGGGCCAGTCGGGGGACGATTAACAAAGCTGGAAAACAATGAGCCAGCGGGAAAACAATACCTCGACGATAGCACGGCTCGTTCGCTGCCGTTTCCACTGCCCCCCCTCCC